TAGGTAAAAGTCATGGCCACACTGAGAAACAGATGTCTCATGCAAGCTGTGACTTCCTGAGTAAATATATTGTAAGACGTGTGGCATTCTTAGCAAGCTGTGTCACTGCTTCTGTCCAGTGGTCCAGTGTAAACATAGTGACAGCAATGCTCTGATGGAATAAAAAGTAGTACACCTGTGCATAGTAATAATTCTTTTCCAAACACTTCTGTTTAACTTCATTTTCATGCCTATATGTTGAATTCGACTATGGAATTGCACTGCTTCTCTGTTTGCAGGTCAAGGTACAGGGAAACAAAAACAAAAGCAGTTTTAGATTTGCTTTTGAATGCCATGTATTAAGAAACAAAACAAAATTCCTAAATTATTTAGAGCAGAAGTACTTAAACCATGGTCTTCAAGGCTGATTCAAGTGGCTCAAGAATGCTTTCTTTCTGACAGTGACCAAGGCCATTTTGCTATGAAATTATTGAACAGCTAACAAGGTCCTGGCTGAAGGCCCCTGATCTTCATACTATGGTGCTGGCTTTGCTGGTGATGCCAGCACTGGGGGGGAAAGTTATAAAAAACAAGTAATGTATGTGCTTTGATTTGGAGAACAAGATAGTTTATTAGAGTTTATTAAGCTTATTTAAAAGGTTGTTAAATGGTCTGCCAAGACCCCCAGCCATTTTCAAGTGGTTAAAGGAAAATTAGATTAAGGACCACTGATTTAGAGCATGTGTTTTGGAATTGTCATGGTCCTTTGATGAATGGGCAGTGCTTGTCACCAGAATGCCTGTATATATGCATTCCATTTGATTCCCTTACATGTATGTATGCATTCATCATGTATCTTGTGCAACTATTCAACACAATTATTTTCAACAAAGAACTTGCTGACTTCTTTTTCACACACCTCTTTCCCTTAACCATATATACATCATGTAATGGAAGAGACCACAATTCATGCGAGTCCAACCCCTCTAGCAGAAATACATGAACACTTGACATATGGTTGTCAACCTCTCTTAAGATTGCAAAGAAGAGACTCCACCAACTACTACAAATTCACTTTATTTAAGATGCATTGAGAGTTGAAATCATACTGATAAGTGTATGGTATCAAGGTGGCAAGCAACAATATCTTAAAACAACTCAAGAATGTAAAAAGGGCTAAATACAACAAGGGCAAAATATCATGAACCAACAAATCAAGCTCTAAAATCTGTCAGCAAACGTAAGGACCGGGAATATTCTCTTGTCCTCTTGTTGCCACTACAACCACCTTCCCTTTAAAAAGAAAAGAAAAAGCTTCAGATACAATCCAGGGTTCTCTAAGCATGCAATTGCAGCAACAAAAATTCCAACCCAAATAGTTTTGGTGAGCCCCTTCAATTGTGCTATGATGTTTTCAACCTATTAAGTGAAAATATGTGGTTGCTGCAATCAGTTCCTAAAGTAACTGAGCAGAGAGAATATCTAATCACAGAGCTGCTTGTACAACTGAAGGGCATTGCTTCAGTTGCAAGGGGGGTGGGGGAGGTAAGAGAAATAAACCCAAATAATGCTGCAGGTTGTCGTGGAATAAGTCCTTAATGTATAGCTTTGATTTAGCTAATGGAAAATCAACATGAACTTCACAACTTCTATAAATATGGACACACATGCCCTAAAAGTTGGTCATGTAACCACTGTTCTGTTAGGTGTCAGCTGTGTAATGTTACAATCATGCTTTTCATAATAATCTTGGCACATTTCTAGACATCGAAGTAGAAATATTTAGCACAGAGCTAAAACATGTAGAATTCAAGTCTGTCTTGAACAAATACAACATGCTCAAATTCGTTACTCATTTTAACCTTCTCCCATGCAACTGAGGGTGCCTAGCTGTGTGGACCAGCGCTCACGGGGCTGTGTTTGGTGCTGAAACTTAGTAGGACAGCACACCTTTAGTGTAAAAGACGTCCCAAATTCCAGGGGAATTGCCATACGCACAGACACACACCTGAGATAGTACAGTATTTTAGCCAGTCAAAGCGGACACATGGGCCAACTGAAGGAGGTTCGGATAGGTGTCCAAATCTACCATGTACCAGTCTGTCTCCTCAATGGGAATGGTTTTTCTTAAACCATCTATTTTGTTAGCATACCATTATTCTGGCACAGAAGATGGGAGTGACCTGTAAGTGGGCCTACTTTTCTTTGTGACAGGATCCCACAGGCACAGTGATACTGCTCACTGGCATAGATTTCACTCTGTCCGTATATTGTTGCATCAGTGCAAATGAATGTAGTAGTGATCCTGTTGCACTCCTCAAGCATAACTGTTGGATAGGATCACTCCCCTGGTTTTATCCCCCCAGAATTTTCTTATTTTAGGACACTTTTTTTTAAAAAAAAAATCCGCATCCCAGCACTTGCCTCTTTGCACCACCAACAGGCTGTTCTATTTATCCAATAAGGATGTAGCAGTGTTACATACCAATGGAATGGAAACATGTAAAAACTTCCCTTAAGGACTGTTTGCTGAGGAACATTATGCCAAACACAATTCCATTGATCAAGTAGAATTACCCACTTTAGGTTACAGACTCCGCTAACCCATAAATAGTACCTTGGGTTAAGAACTTTGCTTCAGGGTGAGAACAGAAATTGTGCTCCGGCGGCGCGGTGGCGGCAGGAGGCCCCATTAGCTCAAGTGGTTCTTCAGGTTAAGAACAGTTTCAGGTTAAGAACGGACCTCCAGAACGAATTAAGTACTTAACTCGAGGTACCACTGTATAAGAAATGTTTCAGAATTTGTTAAATGTCCAAATCTTGAAATTCAATTACAATAACACATTGTTCAAACCCCAAAGTCATAGGCATCTTTTCACTGCTCTTATGTAAAGTATCTGATGCATCCCGCCCCCGCCCCTCCACCCCGGTGCTTGCTATCTACACAGGATACATATATAGGATGCTTCCAGGTAAGCAGTTCCTCTGCCTACCAACATGCCTGACAGAGATAATTACAGGAGCAATGTATTAGCTTAGCGCTTCCAGTGCAGACATGCCGTTTTCTTGGGACACCACATTCCCAGGTTACTAAAACCAGCTCATTAACATATCATTGGCTTTTTCAGAACAAGCTTGATGTCAGTTGCAAATGACTATAATAAGAGCTCAGTTACCTGAGAATTCATTGAAGTGTTGAGTGTCACCTGCCTGCAGTGCCTTTAAAACAGTGAGTAGAGCATCCTGGTGCCACTCATTCCATGAGTTTGATGTACTCTCTGTGATAACATCAGCCATGGAGACAGCAAAGCCAGCACTGTCTTCATGTTTCTTAAAGGCATCCTTTGTTTCAGGATGGCCTTTCAAGATTTTTTGGCACTGACAGAGAAAGAAGACTATACAGAACCTCTGTCTTAAAATTTCTTCCAATCTGTTGGAAGTATACGAATCCACAACTTGACAAAGGGTGCAGTCTGGCCCATGGTTACATGTCAGGCCCTTTTTGTTGATGTTTGTTTCAGGAGTCCATAGTATACACAAGCATAGTACATGCTGAGTACTGTGCTGAAAGTTTTCTGGTGATTTCAGAAATGGCAGTGATTTGAAAGGGGAAATTTCCCCCAGATGTTCCCTCGGGATAAATAAGGGAGGAGTTGAGAGAAGTGAGATTAAGCACTGTGGTAGCATGGAATGACAGCAAGTAAGGGGAAACCATTTTTGTGTTTGTGATGCACCTTTTCATTTGCCACCCCACTCTAGATCTTAGAAACAATCTCCCACACCTACTAGTGTTTCCCAGTGCGTTGCGGTTGAAGCTACAAGGATGTGCCATTTGTAGGCCAGTAATACAGTAATGCTACTTCTGCCAACTGTGGGACGAAGTCCTTCTTTAGAATGAGATGCTAACAAAATCTATATGCCCATTGCTGAAGTCTCAGGAGAGATGTGTGCTTAGATCCTACCTGCTAGCAGCCTGGAAGCAGGGGCAGCACATATTCCCCTGCGGTGTATGAGATCTTTCACTAGCTTGCATTATCAAATTTGTGTAGCAAGCATCCCTGACATGAAGCATCTTGCTTGCACTTCATCTCCTCCTCTATAGCACATTATAGCCAAGATCATCTGCAGCAGTCTGCAGCAGTAGACCATGGTCTCACATTATACTGCGCCGAGCTTATGTGTGTCCCACTGATGCACACGGTGCCTTGGAACGCAACCCCTGTGTAAATGGGGAGTTGTTTGTACCTGGCAGGGGAGGTACAAACATTAAGCTATAAATATCTATAGTTTTATATCTAGAATAAAACTTACTGGTTCTCTACGTTAATATCACACTGTGTATGACGATCTAAATAGTTGTGGTCATATCTGTGGTGCTGGTTCAGAATGGCCTTCTCAAGGAAAAATGCCTCACATTGACATTGCAATCTTTTTGATGCCAGATTAGGACTTTCCTATTTCCCTAGATTAGATTATTTTAACTGGAACTGCTTTCTTTGGTCCTTAGTTTTATGTGTTTGCTCTACTACCTTTTTTGTGTTTTTTGTTGAGTTATCTTTTGTTTTTGTTGGATATGTGAATAGTTTTCATCACACTTTTGTACACTGCCCAGGAATCTCCTGCTTGAGGGTGATTAAGAAATATTTTAAATGACTAAATAAACGAAAAACTGATTCTGAGAATAGCTCAAGTCAGTAGAGCATGAGACGCTTAATCTCAGGGTTAGGGGTTTAAGCCTCAAGTTGGGCGAAAAGATTCCTGCATTGCAGGGGGTTGGACCCTCATGGTCCCTTCCAACTCTACAATTCTATTATTCAGTTTATTTAGAATATTTATATCCAACTTTATAGTCCCAATCACATTCATAAAGCTTTGCAAGTATAATCCGAAATAACATAGTGGCAGGCTGTTTTTTTGTCCCCTCATTCTTAAATAAATGACTAATGAATCAATAGTTGGGTGGATATTTTAATTTAAAAGGAGTATTAAGACTGAGATGCTGTTCTGTTTCCTTCCTTCAGGACATCTCCTTGGACTTTCCCATGACGACTCCAAATTCTGTGAGGAGAACTTTGGTTCCATGGAAGATAAGAGGCTTATGTCTTCCATCTTAACAAGCATTGATGCTTCTAAACCCTGGTCCAAATGCACTTCAGCAACAATAACAGAATTTCTGGATGATGGCCATGGTATGTATGGATATCTTAGTGTCCTATATCATGCTGGACATTATGTGCTGCTAGGAACTTTATTTTTTTTAAAAAAAAATTTAACTCTAATTTATAAAATATGTGTTTGTTATTCTAATTAGAATTGAAGTTACTTTCACTTTTCTTTAATATTCTTCATGCTATTACAGTAATTGCTATCTGACTCCTAAATGCAATGAAGTACAGCCCCTGACACTCTGCTACCGCTACCTAAATGAGGAGGAAAAGCTGTAGTAGGAATAGTAAACAGCAGTGAGATGTTGTATTAGTAATACTGGTAGATAAAAATAAGTAGTAATAGCAAATACCAAAAGGATTGCAAATAGGTAGATTATTTACAACAGTGTGAAGTACAGAGGTCCCTCTCACTTACTCTAGCCTAAGTCATGGCAGTGGTTGCCATGAACCAGGGCTAGGAAACATTACAGTACACAAGACTCAAATAAGGATGGGGTTTGGGCTACTTCCTCAGAGATGAAACCTCCAGTACAGTGGTACCTCGGGTTAAGTACTTAATTCGTTCCGGAGGTCCGTTCGTAACCTGAAACTGTTCTTAACCTGAAGCACCACTTTAGCTAATGGGGCTTTCTGCTGCCACCGTGCTGCCAGAGCACGATTTCTGTTCTCATCCTGAAGCAAAGTTCTTAACCTGAAGCACTATTTCTGGGTTAGCGGAGTCTGTAACCTGAAGCGTATGTAACCTGAAGCCTATGTAACCCAAGGAACCACTGTAGGCCACTTTTATCACCAGTTGGCAGGTAGAGAACTAAAATTGAGCAAAGTGACTTGCCCAAGGCATCAGGGGCTAAACAGAGATTTCAACTCAGGTTTCCACATCTTTTCAGAAGACAGCCCTGCTTCAAAAGCTGACAGTTTGATTTATTTAGCTAATATTAGTATTTCAGTGTTCTTTCCCAGCTTCTCCTTAACAACAACAAAATGCTCTTAAAATCCTTCACTGTGCTGCTAACGCAACTGCAGCTCTTAAACAACCTTTTCAAATTCCAGAATGCTTAGATAAAAATGACCTAACTGAACGAATGGATCTAGTTGTTATGGAAACTGAAATCCTTATGGATGAAAAACATACTATATGCATGCAGCACTTGTAAAAGGCAACATTGTGTAGGATGGTTTTGAGGGCGGTGTGCAATGGTATGTTTCATCCCGTTATCATTTGTCGATAACTGCCTCTAACACAGCCAAATGGGTGGGGTATAAATAATAAAATTATTAGTACTATTAACTTTCTGCAATTTTATAAGGCATTTATTAAAGATCTACAGTTGTATTTCCCATAGTAGATCAACACCCCTTTGTTGTTGTCTTAAACACATTGCATTTCAGTCTTATCCAAGTTAACATTAGCTGGACAAGGATGGGATTGCAGCAAAAGTCCATTCGCTAGTGTAGCTCCAAATCACACCAGCTTGGTAAGTTCTGATGGTATAGTCACAAGATTTAACATAAGGTTAAAAGTCAGTGTAAGTTCTGTGCAAATGTAATTAGAATGGCATAAGGAGAAGCAATGGATAGGGGTCCCATTCTGAGACGAATGGGTGGCTTAGTCTGCTTCTTATTCTCCCCCAGGCTAGGCCCCAACTCCCCTGTTGGTATCAACAAAATAACTGTTATATGAAAATAAGCACTCACAAGAGGTAGTGGAGAGCTCAGGAGAACTCCTCCCACTCCTCCATACCCTCTTATCACTATAACTAATGGTGGATGATGCAGAAGCCAATCATAGCACACCATCAAAGGTCCATGAGGCACACTCATACATTGAGATATGTGAATGTCCCAAAGAAGTCACTATGCTAGTTTCCTGGCAGGTGGCAGGAGAAGGCAGGGAAAGGAGGCAGTGGGGAGGTCAGCAGAGTGCAGACACGTTGGCAGGAGTGCCGGATTGGCTCTACCCATGCATTTGCACTACCCTGACCTCCCTGTCACTTTCTCCCCTCTCTCCCAGCAAGCAACAGCGACCTACCTACCAGGAAGCTAGCATAGCAGCTCTTCTCCCACTTCGCCAGCTGCTTCTGCTGCATCTATGAAACATGAGAATGCAAGTAGGAACTGTGGTGGAGGAATATTCAGTTAAAGGCATAGTTTGCACAATCAACATGATACTTGCAGGAGATGTGTGTTACAGGGTTCACTCCCAGGATAACAAAAATCCTATAATGTGTCTCCTTTCTGCTCTTACATGTGTGTGTTGAGAGTAGGATTCTTGCACGCCAACCCTGCCTTCTGTTGTCTCTCCCTTCGCCCACCTCCGAAACACAATATTGTTGTTTTTGAGCTCCCAAAAAGAAGCATGTGGAGGCAGTGAGACACAAAGACTCGCCAGGGACGAGATCTTTAGGTTGTGGAGAACTGGCCCATGAAAACATAGCCCAGTGTGTGGCAGTGGTGGGAAAGACAAATTCCATGTTAGGGTTCATTAGAAATGGGACTGAAAATAAAGTGACCAGTGCCTTCATATAAATCTGTGGTCCAATCTCCCTTGGAATATGACATACATTGCTGGTTGCTGCTTCTCAAAATGAATGCTGCAGAGCTGGAAAATGTGCAGGAAAGGGCAACCAAAACAATTGAGGGGATCAAGCAACTCTTCCATTATGGGAGATGTGCAGCCTTCACTATTACACACATTGTCTGCATAGAAGGATGCAGCAGAACTTGAAGATCCCCATCTCCTGCCCCAGAAATCTATATAAATCCTACAGCCTAGCCTCCTAACCATTGGCCACGGCATGCCCTAACAGATCAGGCACTGTTGTCGATGCACGGCAGACTCTATGTGCAATTTATGCCTTCCATGTATGCCTAATAGGGAGACACTGTTGGCAAGTGTCATCATGATTCCCATATGTCAGTATTGCTGCTGTGGACTTTGTGGGTGGCTGTCTTGTTAGCTCTCCCCCCCCCACCCCTATTGTTGTTATTGTGTTTTGGATATTGTTCCTGGGTGAATGCATAAGCCTAACTAGAACCTTCCACTACCTCTTTCTGCAGTAGTGCCATAGACTTAATCTTGAGCAGTTCTATGTGTGGTTAATAGAGTGTTTCTCAAGCACAGCCTTCATGGGTACTTGCAGCCACCAGCTGGCTTCTGAACAGCTGCCTCATCATAGACCGCCATTGGCATTTCTCAATCCACACACATAGCAAACTTGCAAAGTAGCTGACTTATTTTTCTGTTTATTGTTAGAATAAACAATGTGGTGAGTAAATATTGAGGGTCACATGCTGAGCTACCAAAAATACTGTTTTAACTCATTAATTGGAACATTTAAAGGAATGAAGAAGCTTGTTTGTAGTGTCTAAATGTGTTTATCCAAGAACTGAGACAGAATGTTTTTGAGAAAAGGAACAGTTTAATCCTTACATTTAAGCCTTATTTGACAGAGGCCCCCAATGTTAAGTTTCTGGGCATTTTGCACCCCTTATCTATTATCCAGAAAGTTCACTTGGTGCACTTCTAGAAAACACAAAGACCAAGGGGAGGAACCTTCAGATACAAATGGAAGCTTTGAGTAAAGCCCTCAGATTTATTTTTAATACTGAAGCTATAAATGGGAATCTTGTGGGGTTTTAGCACCCACAGCTGTAAGCAGGTCAGTTTACAATATTACAAAGCCCAGACAGAAGGTTAAAAACCCTGGACAGATTAATAGCAAGACGAAATTTAGAAATCTTCACTGCCTCCTGGGCCATAGTTAAGATAGACCTGTTAAACCAATTACTGTAATTGGCTCTTTTGATGCACTCCAGTAAATGTATGTGGTTTTTCCCTGACCTGTCTCATAGGACATTGTACCCAGGGACTTCTTGTGTACTAAGCCATTACTTTTCCACAGACCTATGGCCCCACAGTGCCAGATTACATAGCTTGGTTTGGTTTGCTTTGCCATGTGCATGGCTGTGAGAAAAGGGAGGCAAACATATGTGTTGTATGTTAGGCTGGTTTGAGACTACAGTAATATGAAGAGTACAGTGTGGTCAAGACAGGAGTGGGTGGTTGACCAGCTTTGGCCCAAGGGACACAGGATTCCAGCATTTCTTCTGAGGTGGGGTGGGTCTGCCTACATGTCTTCTCCCAACCACAGGGCTATGGACTTGGCTTATATTATAGGAATGGCAGGTTTTCTTTTGCTGTGCAGTTCTGGCATTTCCCCGGGCAAAAGTATGCTTGTTTGAAGGATGCTGTTAGTTGTGTGTGGATTTCCATATTAGAAACAACTACTGAGATTATTGTGCTGTTGACTTTGCTGCTAGCATAGTGTAGAATCACAACATTACTCCAGTGTTAGCCATGCTGTATATTGTTGACCATATACAGTGGACTATATAAAGGTAGCAACTGTATATGTTGTAAATGTTTTTCATAGACTAGTAGCCTTGCATCTTGCACTGCTCAAGAATTCTAAGAAGCCAAAAAACAGGGCCATTTTTAAATTCGTGATTAGAATCAGTGGTTTTGAAATATTTATTCCACTGTCTTGATTCAAAATGATGCCCGATTGTATCCAAATATAAACCAAACAAAAAAAACCCCTGCTCCTTGATCTCAGGAACCATAATGCAAAATTTGGTTTTATCTTAAGATGTGTCCAAATTCATAGCAAACAAGCAACTTTTACATATATATAGATAATAAGTTGTTTGGTCTCCTTATCCTATTCATTCTCCAAGCACAGTTCAGCATGCACAAGATAACCCAGGGGTGTTTTATTTCACAACAATGTATCATCAAGTAGCAAGGACACATTATTTTATTTTTAAAATGCAATGAAATATGCCTGAGGTAAAAGTTATATCCTGCATGCTGGCTCAGGGTCATCAGAGAGCTGATAAAGTTATAAACTTGAGCAGAGAAATAAGTGATGATGCAGAAGAATGTTTTAACTAAAATTGAATCTGGGGGGTGGGGGGGGCAAATAATCATGGTGGTTGAGTTCTGAAATATAGACCTTTATCCCAATTATGTTTTCAAAGTCCCTGAAGTTGGGAGGTATTTATATTCTGCATGCTTTCATCCATCATCAAGTGGAAGTTGGCACTGCTTGCAGCGAGAGACAGGTTGTGGTAATCTATTTTGGCTCAAGAGAAATGAAGCTTCGCTGAACCACAGGCACCCACACAGGACTCTTACAAGGGTTATAAACAAGACAGAAAGCTCTTCAGATTGGCTGTAATTCCCTGTATTAGCATAAGAGCCGGTTACTTCTATGAGAAAGAAAAATCCTCTAAAATTGAATTTCCAGGACAACTACTTGATGTTGTTTTGGCTTTTTTTCCAAAGAGATGGTGCCAGGTCAATGCTTGACATCACAGATAACATAATTATGCCTTATACCATGTTCTTTTCCGTTTGTATAGACATGAACTGTTTGTTCTTTGGTCTTGTGGCTCTCCTTGGTTTTAGGGGGTCCCAATGAGCACTTGCCACCAATATTGCCTGTCCTGTGCTGATTTGGTTTTTGATTTAATGAATCCTCTTCCCTTCTTACAAGTTTCCCTTGGCTACAGCTGTGTGTCATGCTTTTTCTGGCTTTCCTTATTAAGAAGGCTTAGCTTTTCAACAGCATGTTCAAATGACAGCTTTGTTTATTTTGAAATGTCTCTAGGTCCAGTTGATATATATGGAAGACCTCACTCACAGAGTGGGTTTGAGTACAAGGAAATTAAAAAGAAACGAAAACCCCTATGCCCGGTTCTGAAGCTGATAGTACCAATTATAAACTGACATGCAAGCCAGAGCAATCTTTTCTTTTTTAATAGTAGGGAAAATAATTTTTCTATATCTGTAATTTAAAGACCAACTTACTCTGGTGGGACTACTAGAAAATAAAATAAATGGGTTATGAATTGCAGCCTGTGAAATAAAGGTTATTGTAAAAGCAGAGGATATATAGCCACAAGCAGGTTACAGTTAGAGGTTTCCACATGATATACAAGAGCCCAACGGAGAACTGAATGGATTTGGAACAAACTCTTGATCACTTTATCTAGTTTGGAAGCTTCAGAGGTATGGCAAGCATCATAGAGAGGAAGCAAATTATAAACTGGGTTGTCCTTTCAGGTAACTGTTTACTGGATCAACCACGAAAACAGATCTTGGGCCCTGAGGAGCTTCCAGGACAAACATATGATGCCATTCGTCAATGCAAGCTGGCATTTGGGTCTGAATACACAGTGTGTCCTGGAATGGATGTGTGCTCTCGTCTGTGGTGTGCAGTTGTTCGCCAAGGTCAGATGGTGTGTTTGACCAAAAAACTCCCTGCTGTGGAGGGGACGCCATGCGGAAAAGGAAGGATCTGCCTTCAGGGGAAATGTGTTGATAAAACGAAGAAAAAATATTACTCGGTATGTTGCTACTTTAATGATCAAACCATATAAAAGTGTACAAGGCCCAATCATGCTGTGGCCTGTTTTGAGTGAAAATTCAAGGGAAATTAATCATCAACAGAACAAGGTATTAGTCTAGGCATCCCACTTTTCTTTGTTAGGATACAGTTGATACTGGACCTCTTACCTGCTCACTTGGGTTAAAAAGAATTCTCGAGCTCTCTAACAGCCACAGAACATGCTGGTCCTGTAGTCTAGCATTTTAACAACACATGATAGGGGCTCCTGCCTTCACTGGAACCAAACTTACTGGAATTGGAACAGTTTTCTGGATACATGTGCCATGACAGTATGTTACCTGGTTGGTTGATTATGGGCTGTTAGTGCACAGCCAAGTGATTGTATCTGCACCAGAGTGGGAGAACCTGACATAGCTGCTGGTACAATGGCTGCCCCAGGATCAAATTGGGTGTTAACTCTGAGTTCTTCCTTACCTTGTAGTCCTTGGTTTTAGAAACACAAACTCCTTGTGACCTTAGTGTTACCTTTATCCTGCACTAGAATGCAACATTTTGCAGTACTCACCTAGTTTGATTCTGATCCAATATGGAATATTGAAAAGGTAACACGACCCCCGGGTGCAAGTAGATAAATAGGGACCGCTTACTGGTGGGAAGGTAAACGGTGTTTCCGTGTGCTGCGCTGGCTCGCCAGATGCAGCTTTGTCACGCTGGCCACGTGACCCGGAAGTGTCTCCGGACAGCGCTGGCCCCCGGCCTATAGAGTGAGATGGGCGCACAACCCCAGAGTCTGTCAAGACTGGCCCGTATGGGCAGGGGTACCTTTACCTTTACCTTTAACATGCTAAGGGCAGGAGAACACAAGAAATGCCCTGCCAGATTTGACCAATGTTCCATCTAGTGTAGCATCCTATACCACACAGTGGCCAATCAGATGCCTCAAGAGAAGCTGAGAAGCAGGTCAGGAAGGCAACAGCTCTGTCCTTTTGTTGAATACCAGCTGTTGGTAATCAGTGGCATGCTGCCTCTGAACTTGGACGCTGAATACCGACATCAAGATTTCTAGTTTCAGTAAAAGAGAAAAAGACGCAGAGAAAGAAATGAATGCAATTAGAAAACAGGGACACAAATGCCAGTGAATTTGGAAGTTGTGTTTCTTCTCCAAGTTTGGCTGATGAGCTTTGTTAACCTTTATCCTTTATATTTCAGGCTTCAAACCATGGGAACTGGGGTTCCTGGGGCCCATGGGGACAGTGCTCTCGCACATGTGGTGGAGGTGTTCAGTTTGCATATCGTCACTGCAATAACCCTGCACCTAGAAACAATGGCCGGTATTGCACAGGAAAGAGGGCAATCTATCGCTCCTGTAATGTCCTGCCGTGTCCTGCCAATGGTATGTTTTCCACAAATCAAAGTCAATAACAATGTCAGAGACTGTGGTATTTCTTAAAAGTTGTGCAAATGGTGTTTCTTACTGTACCCAAAGCAATAGTGACATGGTTAAAGACTCTTGACTATTTCTGCAGAGACTCTAGGTTTAAATAATAATTGACATTTCTGCATTCACTACTGCATTCACTACTGTTCTGGGTTAACTACACTGATACATTCACTTTATGCAATTGCAAGTGGTTATCTGATCTAGTGGGTTGAAGAAGAGAAGTCCAAGAAATGAAGAGTTGCCCGGAGAGATTTTGAAAGGATCTGTTAGGGCTTCACTAGATGAGTGTTAGTTGCACATTAGACCTACAGGCCATATACAGTATATCAAGGCTTTTTCCTACCTACTTTGTGCTATGACAGCTGTTCCACAGGTGAATCACCATATGGAAACAGTGTGGCATACTGTTTGCTATGATGTTTTGTTTTGTTGGATATGATCCATAAGCTTTGCATTGGCTGTCCCTTGATAAGATGGATTCTGCGTCTTCCAGTGTTGTGAATTTGTGTTTGAAATGATGCACACCTTGTGTGTATGCTAGCATTGGGAGAATATATGTACACAAATAGTAATGAATGATAATCCTTCTCCAGCTAAAGCTTTTCGCCAGGAACAATGTGAAGCAAGAAACGGTTACCAGTCCGATGCAAAAGGTGTCAAAACCTTTGTAGAATGGGTCCCCAAGTATGCAGGAGTGCTGCCGGGAGATGTTTGCAAGCTCACTTGTCGAGCCAAAGGAACTGGCTACTATGTAGTTTTCTCTCAAAAGGTAAGTGTAGTTTCAATAACTGCTTCTCTCTCAGATATCAAAATATTTGTGTTATGAATAGCAGGGATGTCCAACGTCTGTTTAAGCTGAAAGATTTTATATATCCAAATCTTCAACAGCTCCTGGCCAGGCTGCTGCTGCTGCTGCTGCTGCTGCTGCTGCTGCTGCTGCTGCTTCTTCTTCTTCTTCTTCTTCTTCTTCTTCTTCTTCTTCTTCTTCTTCTTCTTCTTCTTTTCTCTCTCTCTCTCTCTCTCTCTCTCTCTCTCTCTCTCTCTCTCTCCTGACAGATCTGGCAAGCCCCAGATAATATGCTAAGCCAAACCTTGTTTTAACTAAGCATGGTGCAGTAGCAAAAAGAACCAGGGAAGGGCAAGGGGACTACTAGCTGTTATTTGTGAACCTGCATTTTACGAAGCCAATCTTTGGCTTAGCATGCTGTGGAAATCAGACTATATACATGGGTAAAAGACCTTCTTTGAATTCTGTGGTTTTACATAGGTAAAGGTAAAGGGACCCCTGGCCATTAGGTCCAGTTGTGGCTGACTCTGGGGTTGCGGCGCTCATCTCGCTTTATTGGCTGAGGGAGCCGGAGTTTGTCATCAGACAGCTTCCGGGTCATGTGGCCAGCATGACTAAGCCGCTTCTGGCGAACCAGAGGAGTGCACGGAAACGCCGTTTACCTTCCTGTCAGAGCAGTACCTATTTATCTACTTGCACTTTGATGTGCTTTCGAACTGCTAGGTTGGCAGGAGCTGGGACTGAGCAACGGGAGCTCACCCCGTTGCGGGGATTCAAACCGCCGACCTTCTGATTGGCAAGTCCTAGGCTCTGTGGTTTAACCCACAGCACCACCCGTGTCAGGACATGATAACAATCATCTGTTCCTTAGCAGGTCTTAAAATTAGGTAAATACAACAAATGACATAGTACACCATGTCATGACTCCTCCAACCATGCTTTTTTGTCAACATTGTTTGGTTGGCGAACTGCATCACAAAATTCAGATGACTGCGAATTTGAAAACACAGCTGTGCTTCATTCTTGATACTGTTTTGGAAAGTATGAATTTGACAGATTCAGCTTTAAATGCAAACTGAATTGAATTCCTGCCATCCCTGCTCTTGAGCTTCCCAAAAAGTTAAGAATGTTCACTAAGAAATCATCCAGAAATGAATCTTAAAACTGTAGTTTTAACCAGCAGTGACTTCATCCAACAGGTGACTGATGGAACGGAATGCAGGCCGTACAGTAATTCAGTCTGTGTCCGCGGCAAATGCGTGAGAACAGGATGTGATGGCATTATTGGCTCAAAGCTGCAGTATGATAAATGTGGAATCTGTGGTGGAGACAATTCCAGCTGCACAAAAATTATGGGAACCTTTAATAAAAAAAGGTAAGAATTCTGATCACAGCTATTGTTTGCAAGCCAAATTGTTTGTTGCAATGGTGAAAGCTAATTATGTAGGGTTCAGTGAAATACAGTATTGAATAGCAAATTTGTATGGCAAAAATACTGCCAAGAGTACCTCATCTTCCACTGGAAAGGTCTCACAGGTGCTGCTGCACATTCAAACATAGTGTAGCAGATGTGTAACAGAACTCATATATAGCAGATAGCAGAGCTTCCACCACTAAGCTGCTTTCCACCAATTTAACAGACACACTCTAACAAAATAGAGATTTTGTTTTCACTCAAAGTTTTCTACCTTCAGCGAAGGCATTTGTTATCGGCAAGTAAGTATGCCACTTGATTAGGTTGGCTTGTTTGCTAGATATTCCTACCTTTCTAATAATATTTCTAATAACTGATTGGTGGTAACTACCTTGCACAACCAAGTTACCACTGCTCTCAAACTGTGTATATTATACATTTATGTTATGTTATGTTATGTTATGTTATGTTATGTTATGTTTTATGTTTGTTATGTTATGTTATGTTATGTTATGTTTTATGTTATGTTATGTTATGTTATGTTATGTTATGTTATGTTATGTTGTTATGTTATGTTATGTTATGTTATGTTATGTTATGTTATGTTATGTTATGTTATAAAGTGTGTGGATACTTCACCCTTTTTTGTTCCTGACCAGACTGAGCATTTCAACTATATTTCAAATTTCACATTTTAAATATATAAGACCTCACTTAATGTCAGGTTTCCTGTTATGAAACTCACTCATATAACATGACTGACACATGAGAGTAATAATTCTTCAAAAAGCAATAGAAATTATACTGTGTAAAATGTATTAGTTAAGTGTTACCACTAGAGATAGGTGAGCTTCCAAAGTGGCTTTTGGATTAACTCAGAAATTAATACTAGTCAGAAATTAATACTAATACAAAAAGATACTAGTCTCCAATAATTATTTTTCACAGGGATTATGAATTAAACAATCAAAATTAGTATTACCATTATTACTTTTGTGTGTGTGCATGTGTACGCTTAATTTTAATTTTCATTCAGTTGTATTTTTTTCATTTCTTTAAAAAGCAGGGGGAGAACTCGGGTATATTTTCCAAATTAACCCCACATCTTTTACCTGTCCCCATACAAGCTTTCTCTATCAGTGTCATTGTTTCATGACATTTAATAGGGGGAAATTAAGAAGACAGGGAAGCTGGTATTTCTTCTCCCATTCAAATTTTAATATGAAGGTGGTTCTAGAGGGTGTAACCTTTACCTCTAAAATTCTTTCTGAAGCCTCAAATAGTTTTCAATTAAGTTTTACTTAGACCTACAAAACTTGATGAACTACTTAGCTGTGTCCAATGGGTCTATGAGTAAAGTTTAGTTGACTATCACCCTATTTCTCATCATCACGTTTGTGATATCGTATTTCAACAAATGCTGATAAAGTGAGATAAGTGGGATGCTTTTATTGGCTTCAGCAGAATTTGAATTAGCTCATCTTCTATTGGAAATTAGAAAAGACAGATACATTTAACGCTAGACCCAGTTCATTGTCAGATAAGTGAACTACTATCAATGGCTTCAATAGGTTTCAAAAGACTATCCATTTCTTCCTCCCTAACATGTACTTTTCTTACATTTCAGTAAGGGCTACACAGATATCGTGAAAATACCAGAAGGAGCAACACACATCAAAATCCGACAGTTCAAAGCAAAAGACCAGAGTAGATTCACAGCTTACTTGGCCCTGAAAAAGAAAAATGGTGAGTACCTTGTCAATGGGAAGTACATGATCTCAACCTCAGAAACCATCATTGACCTCAACGGAACTGTCATGAACTATAGCGGCTGGAGTCACAAGGACGATTTCTTGCATGCAATGGGACATACAGGCACGAAGGAGATCCTAATTGTACAGATTCTTGCAACTGACCCAACTAAACCATTGGACGTCCGTTACAGTTTTTATGTGCCAAAGAAGCCAACCCAAATGACAAACTCTGTCACCAGCAACAGCAGCAGTAACAAACTGGCAACGCCGCTCACCCAACCCCAGTGGGTGACTGGGCCGTGGCTTTCTTGCTCTCGAACATGTGACACAGGCTGGCACACAAGAACTGTCCAGTGCAAAGACAGAAATGAAAAATTAGCTAAAGGATGTCTTCTGTCTCAAAGACCTTCAGCATTCAAGCAGTGCTTGCTCAAAAAATGTTAACCTGTGGTTCTGTCGGCTTCTTAAAAAGGAGCCTCATTAAGTCGTAGTTGACATGTTGACATAAGGTCTACCCCGGCACAGAGAAAAGCCAACACTTCAATATGCTTTCATGTTGTCTCAAATTATGGGCAGAATCTGCCTATTTGGACCAAATGAAGATATGCACTGCTCTGAGTCACAGTGAGGTGATCTTGATATGTCAAAGGCACTAAACATTAGTCGCTACAAGCCCTTTGTATCTGCAAATAAGAAGAGGATAAACCAGTGAATCATCTCCCTTATCTCACCTACCTCTAACACAGTATGTCCTTAGACAACTTGTCATACTTACCCACGATACCACAATAGCTTTTTTATACTATTTGTAAATATCTCTGCTTTGGTATGTCACTTTATAATCACTTGATCATCTTGTGGAAGAACAAAGGCCTTTCTATACAACACAAGTGATTGACCAAAGTATGTCTGCAGCCATTGAGGACTCCACCTTTTCAAAAATGGCTGCGGATATTTTACTGGAAAGTTAAAGAGCTTGCTGCTTTATTTTAAAAAAAAAAAAGATTTAATTTTTGACAAAAGGAAATGCATTTCCATCCTAGGAATTTCCTGACAAGACTTTAGTTCTGTATTAATGCCTTTCTAACCAGGTATTCTCATACAAGTGGACCTCTGCAGCAAAAAGAGAGAGAGAGAGCTGCTAGTATGTATCTTGAAAATGTAAAAGGGGGGCATACTTAATTCTGTTTTAGCAAATGAGAGGGTCATGATCCAGTCCCATATGTGCATCCTTCCACGTGCAGGGAGACAGTGTGAAGGAATTCTACATGTGGGAGCAGCACATATAAGAGAGTTTGGTAAGGCACTGGATCACGCCTTCAGTGTCTTCTATCTCAAATATTCTGATACCTATTCACATCTTTTTATTAGTTTCACAGTGGCTTCTACTGGAAATCTAACAATGTAGTGAATTTGTTATCTACTGAAGAAGCTATGAAGAAATCAAAATACATAGCATAGGTTTCTTGCATGTAGCAATGTATTGTCTAATACTTCTAATTTTGGGATGCATTTTTACCACTCGGACAACACCAATCCCAATGCACAGGCTCAGTTATGAACCAAGATATATTGTGCACGAACTGTCCCATTGTTGCGATGGAGCATGTGCAATCTTCTGCACATGTGGCTTGGGCCGCTCCATTGAATTCTTTCAGGTGCACCTCAAAACTCCCATACAATTGGGGGTGCCCATGATCAATTTGTTTTAATTAGTTAATTTTAAAACAAACAAAAAACAAAACTATAAAATATATTTATTTTTTGTGACATTGCATATTTTTGTAGATTAAGGCTGAAATCCTATACCCACTTACTTGGGAGTAAGCCCCATTGAGTATAACGGGACTAGCTTCTGAGAAAATATGTACAGTATAGCTCAGCAAGGGCCACAAGAAGTGATAGCTATAGTCAGTGCTTTTTTGGGGGGACACAGGGGTACACATACCCCTAAACATTTTGTGAATATAGTTTAGCCTCATTGAGGGACAGTATTTCAATATGAGTAGGAAAATGAGAGTATCCCTAAACATTTATTTTAGGGGGGGGAGCACTGGCTATAGTCAATATTCTGAAGAGTATTTCCACCAATAAAAGGGTGCAATTTTTTCCAGGGCATAGGCAAATAAATTTTCCATTTTAGAAAGGTAACATAAATACCTCGATCTGAAATGTGATGAAATTAATTGAATTTTGGATGATGTTTATATAATATGGAATATATATATGTGGGTATAAAATCTCAGTAAAAGAAGATTGCCCCTCTGCTCCTAGTGCCTTCCACAAATATTGCAAGTATGGACAATTCTTGATTTTCCATTGCAATTTAGTTTTAGATTTCAGGGGAGTCAGGACTATATCTGAAAGTATCCAAGTTTAATTTTGATCTAAAGTATTTGCACTCCAGCACCAGTTCTGATGTTGTTCTGGAACAGTGGTTAAAATGCACATTCCAAGCATTTATTTTCTAATGTAGGACGTTTTAGGGTGAATAGATTGTTAAACCACTCCCATTTATATAGGCCAGGAGTAGGAAACCCTGTGGCCCTCTAGAAAACTATGTGTTTGCATTCCTGTTGGCACTCCAGAACCTGTGGCATTTCAGACATCTTTCACCATCCCTGATCATTGGACATATGAACTAGGGCTGGTCAGGTTTGGTGTCCAACAACATCGGGAGGGCTATAGGTTGCCAACACCTGATATGAGTCCTGTTTACAGCTATTTCATTGGAGTACAGTAGTACTCCCATTTATAAGTAATAGCCTGACTTGATAAGACATTATCATCAATGATGATTGACAACTGCACTTTCACATCCAGGTCAGACTGATGCCCATTAGGACTGGTAGCGCAGAAGGCAGGGAGACCAACAGTAGACAGAGACAGAGCCAACATCAGCCAGAACCAGAGCCAATGACTGGTGGAGCCAAGGAATTCTCAGTATGTCTCTAGTCTCTTCTCTGTTGCATTATAAAATGGCAACACCAAGACTAACAAGGAGGAAGCTGACAGCAGCAGCACCCGCTGGACTGATTGTAGGAAGGCAGGCATTGTCCTAATTGCCCTAAAAGACCAGCCAAACAGATATGGGTTTGAAGAATGTAGGTGCATTTACTAGGTACATAATATGTTGATCCCAACAAACAGGCGTTTCCAGAAAACACATTGATCGATTAAAACAACAGTTCTCCAGCACTGTTCTAGCATATGTAATTAAGCATAGCTAGTTGTGGCAGAATATGAATAGGGTTGTGCATCCAGATGTAGATCAAAAAGTGCATCCCATCTGTAGCATTGCAAGGTGAATTAGCAACATCCACATTCAAATGCACGCCTCCTTTTTATACCTGTGATTCCTGTCCAGAGAAAGAGTGACACATATGAAATACACTTCTGCAGAATGCTTCCACCTGTGACTATAGGACGAGGAGAGTTATCAGTTTAGTACATTCTTTGATCCACTTTCTGTTCCAAATTATAGAGGTCCCCTGACTTTAAACAGTTCTCATGCCATTAAACAAATTCTGATCTTATGTGCATAATCAAGGAGATAGAGCTTTCTATCTATAAAAGATGTAGCTCTTTTTTCAGTGATCTTGGGATGTGATCGGTTTTTTTTAACTGAAAGAAAGGGCAGTGCAGAGATTTTTTTTTAAAACCCAGGAAATGAACTTCAAGCTGGTGCCAATCTTCAATATTTAATCTTTTTATATTAACTGAAGAATCAATCATATTTGGCAACATGTCCAGGATCACCTTTCAGTACTTGCCTAAATTCTTTATGAGCAGAGGCCTGAGGTGCTTGAACATTATGGGTTATATCCAGGGCTTTTTTCCAGCTGGAACTTGCTGGAACTCTGGCTCCTTTCAAGTGGGTGCCATTGCCATTATAAGGCAGCAAGGGAGGTGCTCTTGGTGAGTTCCAGCATCTCTTTTTCTAGAAAAAAAGAACTGGTTAGATCAGTGAATCAATGCTCCTATATTCTAGGTTGATGGACTGTAGCCATCCAGATGTTGTTGGACTTCAGATCCCATCAGCCCCAATTAGCATGGCCGATGGTCAGGGATGAAGGAAGTGATAGCCCAACAACATGTGTATGGCCACAGGTTCCCCATCCCTGCCTTACACTCTAGTTTTCCCAAGCAATAGTATAGGAAACTTTTAACTGAAAGTAGTCCCTTCAAGAGCAGGAAAGGGAAAACTCAAAAGAAGCAACTGAATCCAGTAAGCTAAATGCAGAGATGGTGTACATACAGTGTAATCCTATACATGTAGAAGTGTGTGCGATTGAGTTCCATGAAGCCAACTTCCTAGTAAGCGTGTTTAGGATCACTGCCATCATGGTCTAAGTTACATGGGCACATGTAAGTTACTCAAACTCAGGTAAAAGCATGGAAAGAAACTGAATTTTAGTTTCCTTATTATAGCATGATCCCAGGACATGTGTGACATATGGTAAGCACAGTACACTTTGGCAAGAAATAAAAAAGGCAAAATTAAGGAGAACTGTGTGTTTGCCCTTTCCCTGCCCCCTCCCTACCTCTCTTGCTCTCTTCCACATTGCTTTCTGAAACTGGTGCCAATTGTGTCACTTTATAGTTTCTGACTATGTTTGAAGCAGGTCAGTGCCAGAGACTCAAATCTAGTCACCACCTGATGTACTGTTTGGTTATTCAGATTTTCTCTGAGAATTCTACTAGCTTGAATGGGAGTGTATCCACTGCTAAAATCACAACTGGTGCCATGATTCAGTGCATCTCTGCACAGTGAAGGCTAACTTTCCAAATAATCCTCTACACTAGAAAGCTGTAATCCTCAAACCACATGCTGTCACTGTTTGAAACCTATTGGGTGGTTTAAAGATTGAATAAGGCTGAATGGAGTAACTTTTCCATGGAAATGGTTTATCCTATGGGGAAGGAGTGGGGAATGGTGTTGGTAACTGATCACAGATGTAAAAAGAAAAAAAGTAAATTTAAAATTTAAAAAAGTAAAAAGTAAAAAAGCAACATAGCACTGAAAAATAAATAATTTATTGTTTTTACAAATTGGTATGTGAATGGATGTAATGAATTTATTTATTCTTATTTAACATGAAATGCCAATTGTGAAAATTCTTCTATATTTAAATTGTTTTGCTATCACTTCTTTGTCTGTCTTTCCCTCTTTTTTTCCTTTAATTTATGCCTTATATTTGAATGGAAAGTACTATGTGAATTTATCAGCACGCAGCACTGGTTGCTTTTATATTGTTTTTCTTTGATTTATCTGGAACGCGTGTGAATGTGAATGTGGTGCATGCATGTGAGAGTATGGTTAATAGTACAAATAAATATACTTGGGTGAATGGCTGTGCGGGTGTTATCACATATATAAACATACAGAATGCACATGCATCCATACAGATATGTGTCTGTATATGTATACTGATATATTTTGTAACCATGGCTTTTCTTTTCCTTGCAACTACCTTGCATTGCATTATTTTCAAAGCTTGCAGTTACAGGGTGCAGTCACAGGTTTAAGCATTGTATAAGAACCTTCTCCCATCACCTCATTCTTGTACCTCCATCTACCCAAGGCCTGATTTCAAACATTATTTCTGCAGCTTCCTCTATAGCTTCCTTTGGGGATGTCATGGGGAAGCTGTTTGTGCAAAGTAACTCTCTTGTGGTTCCCCTTTAACCATACCTGCAGCTTCTTTGAAAATGATGGGTTTTGGTGTTTTGACATTAGTGGGCCCCTTACCATAAATGGCTTCCCATGTAGGTGGTATCTAGGCAGTTCCCCATTTAATTTGTAGTTGTGCTGCAAAAATAATGTCTGGGTTTGTCTTGCAAGCTCACTTTGATCTGTTCGCACTACTGGTATGACAAACTAATCACACAAACCATTTTCCATGGGTAGAAGGCTGCCAGAGAAAAAGCATAGTTACCACAGAGATGGCAATCGGTCTCATTCATTTGATATCTCATGTTACGGACAGCCAAGAGCCTCAAAATCAATAGGGCCTAAGCATATATCCATCATTGTAATACATGTTTATTTCAGTGGGACTTGAATAAGGCTGTAGTAAATAGCTGGTGGTTCTAAAATGCACTTCATGTGCATAGCCAGGCATCTGATTCAATGTTCTTTGCATTTTGAGCGGAACACGCATATATCCTAAAATACATGGTTCATAATCTAGTGTGCAAAGGTATGATGGGGGACCTGAGGTTTTCTGGAGACTCCACAGTACCAAAACCCACAACCAAATGGGTATCTCTCATCCATCCACTTTCCCACTGCTTCTAGTGAAGCAGTATATACAAGAGCTGTTTCTCTTTCTTCCTGCAAAGAGCTTCAGGTAACCTGAAGATTGGGGGAAACATCATTAGCTCAGCCCCAGAGAAGCAAGTACTAGCTTTGGCATGTCCTCAGTGGAAGCAGAAGCCTGAGGATGAAGAAAACATACTGGGTCATATTTCTGGATGTGAAAGTACCAATGCATTGAGAATGCAAAAGCAACTAAATAAATCAATATTACTGGCTTGTGAAACCAACTTTTCATAAACCATACTGTAAATCCTGCAATCCTAAGCCTATTTACCTGGGAGTAAATCCTATTTAACTCAATGGGACTTCCAAGTCGGAATGTATAGATTAATCTTGGAAGCACCTTACTTGTTTAAAGGCCCCTTCAGTGGTGCATATCAGATACACAAAACAAAAATTACACCAACCATATTAGTGATTCTGAAACGTATTTAATCTCTTCAGGTTGGAAGCCATTGTCTTTTGCCAACTAGTAACAGATGGTTGTTCCATCCAAACGGTTACAACATATTACTGGTGCATCCAGCTACAACATCTGAAACATTTTTAATGGCCAAAAGTCCTAGGAGCTACCACTATTGCACATATATAACAACAGGTGCATTTTGTGAAGTAGCTGAAGAAACCAGATGGCTTCACTAGGTGCACAACAGAAAAGTTCAGACACTTATTTAATACTATGAATAATTCCATGCTGATCATTTTGCTGACAATTCTTCCAAAACAAGTTTTTCAATTTTCCTCTTAACAATAGCATGGTATAAATATGTAATGCCATCTATTTATGAGAACTTTTTTTCCAGTAGTTCAGGAATTCTAGCAACCACCCTGCACAGCTATATATATAGAGAAAGAGAGAGCGCAATACCAAAATTTCAATCTAGTTACGAAACATTTTTCAGTATGTAGCATACAAGTTAAGATAGTGTGTGTCTCTTATTAGCTTTCCCTTGTATGTACCATTTTATGTTGTTTTCCAACTGCTACTCAGTCCAGTTTCACAATTCAGTTGTTTTAGCCCTAGCGAATGACTTCTGATGTTCAGGTTTTGCCGCAGTACTGGCCTATTGATTACTTTTATCCTTGAATGTGTAAACTCAGTTGCTTTAGAATGTGAAAAACATTCAGGGGCAGGCACTCTCATTTCTCAATAACTCAATAACTTATTGGGAAATAAATGTTCATGTCTGTTACACTGGATTCAGTGAAGCAATCTAAGCAGGTGTGGTGTCTATTGTAACAGGTGACTGTTACAGATTAACACCCCAAAAATACCAGATATTTTGCTAGTATCTTGTAGTCAGAAATCACTTAGCCTAATGCTCCTGCTCCCTGAACTCTTAATTCAAAGCTGAGATGTAACAAACAAATGCCGGAAAATGTGTTTTCATGCCAGCTGAAGACTTTTATGTACAACTAAATAATTAGATGTGTGTGTGTGTGTGTGTGTGTGTGTGCAGATTCATGTATCTGTATAAAATATGTGCTGTATATGGATGAGCAAGGAGATCAACATCAGCCTTCACCAGCTTGGAACCCTGCAGCTGTTTTCAACTACAGTTCCCATCAGTCCTAGTCATCCCAGCCAATGGGATGGGAGTTGTAGTCCAAAATATCTGAAAGGCACCAAGTTGCCAAAGGCTGGCCTATTTAATTATTGGGTACATAGTGTGCATTTATTACTTCCACTACATCAGGCTATAGCCAGAATAACTTCACCAGAGTTAACAATTTACATAATTATATATGTGAATTTAACGCAAAATACACCAAATTTGATATATTATACTATAAAACATAATGGCACTTCACAGCAAAACCCATTCAAAACCCATGGTAAACTGCCCCATCGAATGCTATACTAAACATCCATGCACCAGAGAAATGTTGGTTCAATCAATTTTAACCTTGCTACAGATAAATAAACTTTGGGGTGGGGGAGTGAACAAACATGTAAGAGAGAAAAGGCTGGGCTACACTAGGACTCCATAGAATAATAATAAAAAAACAACTAGCAGAGATCTTGCTGTTGGAAGATGACTTAAAAGCCAGTAGGTTCGGTCTGGGGGTACCAACAGGACACATTGCACTAAAATACAGGCAGCCAGTCTATGGCCTGTGTGCTCCATGGCCCTGCTTGACACGATTTCTGGCACACATACCAAGAAAGTTGGCCATCATGGCACTAAAGCACCACAGCTTTTTTTTCCCCTTTTAAGTTGCTGATGAAGCAAAACTCCACAACTGCTCTGAGCAATGAATTCCCCAGGCCAACTGTCCTTTACTTATAAAACCTTGTTGCATACTGATTTCTCTTTACCCTTGCCTCCCTGCAGTGTTTTCTGTATACTAAACATGTCTTTTGACAGTGCAGTGACCAAAGCTGGACAGTAACTCCAGCTGAGAACCAATACTGCTAACTATAATGGTGCTATAAACTCCTGGGTCTTTCATATGAATCTGCTGTTAATGCCAACCAAAATGATTTTTATTTTTTTGCATTTCCTGGCCTTATAGTAAACACCTCATTATTGAATGTTAGTGTGGCCGTTGTGTTCTGTAATACCTTGCACTAGATGTTTTAGACATTTATTGGTAATGTAAGTACACCTTAAGAAACTGATGTGTGTGTTGCCAGCTTTTTGTCTTTTGTTGGAAAAATGCCTTACCATAGTGAATTAACACTGGAGAACACTGCAGTGTCAGCCATTGTACAAGATTTGTACTGTACTATGAAACATTAAAGGCCAGCGCCTTGAAACTATACAACTATGATGACCAATGTATAAGAGACCAGTTGTGATCTTAACTGATTTTGTGGCTTCAGTTGAAGTAATAAACTGTGTCATGGGCTTGACTAGTTCCTGTAGATTTTGTCTTTCCATTCCTCCAACCAGCAGCCTTAACCAGAGAATGGGTTGTTTCTTTTCTGCAAGGTTCAGTGAGATGGCTGTTCATGTACATAAATAGATGTGCATTAAAAAACAGCTGCTTTTTACTTATAGAAGGAGTGGAGGGAGGTGCACCTAAGCTCTACCCAGTGAAAATGGTTATCAGTATAACTTTCCTTAGTGGTAGTAAAGGGAGTAAGGAAACTCAAAAATATTTGAAATCTTCACTCACCACCCCTGAATTCAGAATGATGTTATTCTTCAAAAGGTTTTTAGCTGACATTTAGATGAGAAGCTTACAAATTCAATTAATATTAATGAGAAAAGGCAAAAATTTCCCTGCCCCGCCCCCCAAATTGCTCTCTCTCCATTCTGGAATGTTATGTTGTTCTTCAACAGATTTCATATTTAGGGTGGATATATATTATATATAGTCAGAAAATAGCAAAGTAAATGTCCACCCCCCACCCTTGAATCTGCCTACATAGTTTTTAATACAGCTGTCCATATGCAGCTACTTTAAGCTATAGTATGATGGCACAAGAGAGAGACACAGATAGCCTACCAAACAATGATTTTCTTCCACACAGCACTGAAAGCTTTGATTTGCCCAGGAAAGTAGTCCATAGAGAATATTTTACTGTGCTGTAATATTTTTTCCAAAAATAACAGGGTTACACCTATGCAATGTGGGTTGAGTAAAAATTCTTTCCCAAGTCCCAGTTCTATTTATGTGGCAAATTGAGAACTGCTACCCATCCAGTTGCTTTCAAGCCAGCATCTCATTTGAAGTCGGTGTTGTCCTTTTTAGTTCCAGCCCTGTTCATTCCTTATAATAAGAGGGAAATGGAAAGAAGAACAGCTGCCTAGAGTCTTGTTGCAATCGCCACATATTATCTATACCTGTGGATACAGCTTCCTTTGATAGGAATCTAAGCTATGAAAAGATTTTGAGAGAAAATACCAGGAGGACATGGCATTCCAATACACAGAGCTATAAATCTGGCTTCCCCTCTTCAACAGAAAAAAAGGGAAATCGTGGGTGGTGTTTTTCATTTTTATATTATTATTTTTTGTAAACCTCAGTCTCTTGAAATCAGTAGTCAGATGTCAGTGTGGGTTTTTCTTTCCCTTGAAATACTAAATGCTTTTGGAGTTAGTTCATTTTCTATACCTAAATGTTTGCCCCAAACGTAACTGAAAGTTACAAGCAAATGTGTTTAACAATACCCCAGTGGTGTTCTTTTAAAAGACAGGTGGGTAGCTGCTTTGGGATGGAAAAAAATTAAGAGGGAAGGGAAAGGAGGTATTTAATCCTTCCTGCATGCCAAATCTCACCCACAAAGACATCCCTCCTCCCTCTCATACACACTCCTGTTTCTAAACATTAGTGAAAAGGATACATGTGTGTTTCTAGAATGTGGGTGGGGTGGTTTGATGTTGATGGGGAAAGAGTTTTTTAAAAGGCTTGGGTGGGAACCCTTTTTTTCTGAATTTGTCTAGTTTTTTGTCCAGGGCATCACATCTCTAAGGTAAAGGTAAAGGGACCCTTGACCATTAGGTCCAGTCGTGACCGACTCTGGGGTTGCGGCGCTCATCTTGCTTTATTGGCCAAGGGAGCCGGCGTACAGCTTCCAGGTCATGTGGCCAGCATGACTAAGCCGCTTCTGGTGAACCAGAGCAGCGCACGGAAACACCATTTACCTTCCTGCCGGAGTGGTACCTATTTATCTACTTGCACTTTGATGTGCTTTCGAACTGCTAGGTTGGCAGGAGCAGGGACCAAGCAACGGGAGCTCACCCCATCATGGGGATTCAAACCGCCGACCTTCTGATCGACAAGTCTGTGGTTTAACCCACAGCGCCACCCGCGTCCCTAGTAACAAATAAACTGCAATGCAGTATTGCCAATGTAATAATACCACCTACAAAATATATAAATTATTTTAGAGAGCTGTCAAAAAGGCTGTGGGCATGGAAACAAAGTCCTCCAGGGAGTTCTGCTTCTACACTTTTGTCATCCCTCTCCTCCAACAGCCTAATGGATAGCTGCTGCTACCAGTTCTGCTCACATTAAAGACAAGATTAGAAGTAATGGCTTCCAGAGTATGGATTCTCCCAGCTGATCATGCAAATCATTGTCATTTATTTACAAACCACTTTTTTCATTTAAGAAAGACCCACAAAGTGCTGGACAATGTTAAAAGATAATGCAATAAAAATACAAGATGCAAAACTGAGACCCTAGATACGAGTGTGTGTTTATTATTTACTAAATTTCTATATCACCCTTCATCAGAGGATCACAGGATGGTTTACATTATAAAACCACAAAAATAACCATAGTAACAAACAAAAGCAAATAACCACCCCACACACAGTTTAAAAAGCAATAGATGGTTTAATTACCCAAAGGCCTGGGAGATGAATGTTTCTGCCTGGTGCCTGAAGATATGTAACACTGGCTCTAAGCATACTAACTTTAGTAGAAGACAACATTAAATAACAAAGACAAGGCATTTGTCCTGAACTGAAATGGTTTGGCCCTACTTTCTTCCAGTATTGTCACTTAACTTGCTGCATATACCTGTACAGCTGGATGCCGGCCTGCTCATCTTTTTGGCCAAACTCCTGAATGTGGGTGTTCTGTTGTCACATGCAGTACAGTTTGTTATCTCTGCATCATCATCTTTTTTGCCCCTTCAAATAAACAGTTATGTGCTGATGTGCACATAAAATAGCACTATGATTTGATTTCTTGACCTGCAACAATATGCAGCAGATCTAATTCCCGAGACACATCAAACGGAAGCAAAATGGCTGAATAACTCAAATCACATGACGACCTACTTTCAACCACTAATTGGCTGGAATGTTTTCATGAAACTTAGGAATTTTCCTTTAGAGCTGTCTTAATATACACACATTCAAATACTAAGTAGCAAAAGGTTTCCCTGTCACTATTTAGAAATATTCACCTCATCAACTTATGCCAGCATCTCTATTTATTAACAGCTTCCTCATTCTGTTAACTCCAGTGCATTCTCCCCAATGAGAGCTCATCTCCCTCAGCACACTCTTTCCAAGTTGCCTGCTAATCCAAAAACAATTCAGATGACAAACCACCTACACCCCACTTCAAAATGCCTTTTGTGCAACATCCTCAGATACTTTTACCCCCAGCTAGAAAGGACCTCTCTCCCCACCCACATTTCCAAGGATCAGGTTTGTGTATGCCTTGTGGCTTTTCCAAGGCTGTGGCTCACAAGACTGGGCAAGTCTGAAATACTTTATTTAACAATAACAGTAGCTGCAGCTATTTCAGTTTTATCACCCAACCCAAATATCATTACTATTTGGAATTACTGTCCAGTTACATATCCAGATATCAGCCAAGGCAACTTATTGCAAAACAGGCTGATTTGAACTAGCAGTCCTAGCAGTTAAACAAATTTCTCGAGAAGGCAGTAACACTTTTCATATTTGTAGAAATGTCAAGCTTTCAACACTGTAGGATCAAAGCTGAACTTAATTAGACAATTAAAGTTATTTCCTCTTTAACTGAACTGTGCAGTATGGAGACATGCATACAGCTGATGCACATGTAACACATTTCCCCAAAGTACCCTGGAACTGGAGTTTGTTAATGGTGCTGGGAATTGTTACTCGATGGGGAGCAAGCTACAGTTCCCAAGATTCTTTGGTGGACACCATGTTTATGTCAAACATATGGTGTGCACCAGTAAAAGCAGAATAGTTTTCTACAATTATATTTCATGCACTAAGCCACTGTTTTTACTATTTTAAAATCTCCTCTCCATGATCTTGTTTTATTTTGCATTTTCCTCAAAGCATACAATAAAAACATTGTTTTTGGAAAGTCATGAAAAAGTACATTAATAAAATTGGGAGGGCCCTCTTAGTTAAATATATAGTCAGACCAACTTTTTGTCATTTTTTTTACAAAAAAAAAACTTGTTTATACTTTTCAGGCCTGGCTATTTTAGCACATCTGCTTATTCATCTGACATCAACATGAAAGGGAAAAATGTATGTACATTTGTAAAGCAGATTTTTGTTAAACGCCTTTGGATGTTTCTGTTCAAAATGTTTAGCACATCTGATTAGAATCTGCACATGCTGACTCCAACAGTAGCAGGGCAATCCAAACCTTCTTTAGGCCACTTCTGGCAACTTAGCCAGCCTCCTCCTAGCTTCTCATTTCATCCTATGCAAGCATTACTCCACCAGTGTAGAATTGCCCCTTCTGCCTTTTCAACACAGCTGGCAGTGTAAGGCCCCCAAACAGGAAGATAAGGAGACAGTGAGGGGCTGAGCCAGCAGGGCATCCAATGGATTTCAATCTGGGCCTGATTACTATGCCAGTTCCAGGCTGCTGAAGTGATCATCCTGCCCATCTCCCGCACCTTCTACCCCAGCCACAGGACTATGGATGCAGCAGTTGTTCTGCCACTCCATACAGCCCTGCTGGTCAGTGCCAGGGATTTAGATTGCCCCCTAAAACAAGAAGGGCAAATGCCCACTCTGCATTTTATATACCAAAGCCTATAGGATTCTAAGAGCTGCAGAAATATAATACAGGAGGCAAAGCAAAGCCCATAGTGTCTGAAAATAGCTGAATGTTCCTACTGCAGAAATTGTTTAAGACTACATAGATTTCTTTTCTCCTTTTAATATAAAAGACACCTCCTTCCTCAGCAAACACACTTTAGTGTGGCAAATGGAACCATAGCAACTTGCTAGGTGTCATTTTATTTTAATTCCAGCTTATCATAAGCCATTTATGAGACACCTTAGGATCCCTCTGTTTGCAATGTGAAAGCCATCTTAGGTGAACGGGGCTCTAGCACTACCGTGAAGCAGTGCCATACCAATGCTGCAGAAACATTAGTTCCCTTTTCGGATGTGGTGTAATGGCACTTAACAAAACTACTGTTCAGGACAACCA